ACGGCCTGAAACCGAAAGATAAATTGACAATTTTCTCCTGCATACTGTGTTCTTCCTCAGTCAAGTTAAAATAGGAAGTGTGTTGAGGGAAGCACGGCAGATATCGGGCACGTCAGCGCTCGAGTCTTCATCGTGCAATAGCCTTTGTTACAAGGTGAAACCCAAAAGCAATATAATGTTTACGGAAATGTGACGGGTGTATTGCCTGCTCATATTTTTTAAATCCCTGAGAAGCCGTACAAAAACAGTTTTTTGGACCTACATTTGAGTATGCTTATTTAGATATAATAACGAGAAATGGCAAAAACGTCGACTAACGAGCTACACATGTTTATGTGGAAATCATCCATGTTTAATTACAGCCTATATATTTGTAACACCCACTTATTAGACGCGATCTTGGGATATACAGTAGGTATGCTAGTTAATGTCATGTTAACCAAAATTCTAAAACGCGTTTTTGTTTCAAAAAGGTTACTTAATTGCCGTCGTAAATTTATTCATCATGCGAAATAATTCTATTAAAATTCAAATACTTTGGGAAGCCGGCTTTCAAACAAACTTCCTATTTGCCCCAATGTGACAAGTAAACTATGCAGAATGACTAAATTTGCAGCTCACATGTTTCTCTCTAGTGTTCAATGCCCATAAAAATTTAATCAGATTTAATAAAAATGCATTAAACTATTGATGTTCAACTCCATTGGTAAAAAATACTTCTCCTTCCATTTTTATGCTAGAAGAAAGGGAATAATTTTGTTTTTAAATAATTTACCAAACCGACCTGTAGTTACACCAGCATTCAGCGTTTCCAAACTACAGGCCGCATATTTTTCACGTACGAAAATCCATGCATATTTTTACAGTATTTAGAGGGAATCATATGGAGTTTATGAAATTTAACAGTGGATTTGAGCCAAAGTGTAAACTGTAGAAGCCACATTACTAAACGCAGAAACCCTAGGTTTTACGAACGAGCATTTCATGTTCTTCGAAAGTCACATAATTTAGACACATAATTTGAAAACAAAGGTAATCTCCCTATAAGTATAGATTTAGAATAAGAATAAGCAATTTTCTACCAAACGAGTAAAATAACATATAACAATGCATGTTCTCCATCAAATATAATGGTAATTTAAGGCACTGAACATCAGGGAAAAAGTATATGTTACATCAATAGTTATTTGTACGGAGTATAATTTTCGCATTCGACCAGACCGAGCTTGTTTCAAAAGTCGGCACCACGAAGTACTTGCATTATTATAGAATTGTGCTGCATTAATCTACTCGAAGTGTGGGTATAATTTTGTTTTCAAAGCGTTTCTAATTGTGCAATTTTTTATACCGAGAAATGGCCCATCATAAAACGTCATGCCCCTGCTTTTATCATTATGGTCTTAAAAGTCAACCGTAGGACTTAAATCCACTGCTAAATTTTATGAAGTCTGTATGGTCATTTCTTAATACCACATGAACCGGCTTGTAGTTCGTAAGCCCTGAATGCAACTGCAAGTACGTTGGTCTCAAAATTATTCTGGAATTAAAATAGTTTCTGATATCCGATTTATTTTCCTTCTTCGAGTAGCATTGGGATAGGAAGTACCTTTCCACCGAATGAGCAAAATAAACAATATTTTACGCATGTTTTCGATATGAGATAATTGAGTTTCTAAGGGCATCGAAAATCAATAAGAAAAATGCAAACTACATAAACAGTCATTTCTTATACAGTATGTTTTTGCATGCAACCGGCAGAAGGGTCGTTCGAAAGCCGGCATCTTAAGATAACTGCATTACTGTAGAATTATCCGACATGGTGATTACTTTTCCAACCCTTTTAATTAATATTTTTGAAACAAAACGCCCTTCGATAATTCGGCTGACATTTTATGCGTTAGTCCACCTGCTGCACATCTGATATATTTAAACAACTACGTGGTAAAATGTGCAGCTACAATGTTTTGCAACTGAGGCTTGTGTCAGGGAGCCGGGGAATTATAGGCAGCTAGGTTCAGAAATGTATGTTTTACTTTTACCTACCCATGGGCCTATGCTAATTTATCTCGAAATGCCATTACTTGTACCATTAAAGTTAATCGATCCTTTCAGAAGGAATGAAGATCTCCGTTAGTTCACATGGCACTATAATCATGCCTTTTTACAATTGGTAAACAACGCTGTTAACTGTGCGAAAGACCCTCTACAATCCTCCATACCTCTTGCGAATTATCTTGAGACTTAAATACTGGGCAGACAGTCTGAATCGCAAATACGGTCTTGGGAGTCCCTCCATATTTTATATGCAGTAAAATATTTTATTTATAAGTAACGATAATTCGACCTTTTGTACGGCAGATGCCTATCCTGTGCTTCGAAATAATGTAGCTAAAGGGACGGAGGCTTGTGAATTACTGTGAGTGACCGATCTCATAAAATGTAGGCAAACATTTTGAAAATGGTTTTTGCTTAGGAAGGATTACTTAGGTGGGGAGATAATGTTGATTATCGTGCGACACAATCCTATAATAATTTGGACACGCTAAAATGATGGCTTTTAAATACGCTTTTGTGAGCTTCTATGGAAACCGAACTCGGCAGGAAATGACCATTAATTAGCATGGGCGTTTTGCATTTATTTTCAATGGCTTTATAATTGAAAATGTATTTTAAAGAAACCATGGACGACAATATGTTCTTTTATTGCTCTGAAGTAAGTGACTTTGTCTTCACATGTTGTGCTCAAAGATTTTGGCTTAAGGTTTTAAATAATTTTTCCAATTCTTATGCATTTTGGTGGCAGATCGACTGCTGCATTCACGTTTACCCATTTTAGTCAACAAGATGCATACTTCATGTATAGGTAAAATCGTGCATTCCTCTATAGCTTTAAGAAGATGCCCTGTAGGGTTCATAGAATTAAGCAATGCATGTGGACAATGCTATGTACTTTACAAAGAGCATTAATAAACGCACAGGTCTGACTATGTATGATTGGACATTGGGCGGCCTTAAAAATGCTCACAATAGGAAAAATTTTGAAGACCGATACATAGGCTTTCTTCGAGTGCAAATGCGAAGACATTATTTTTACACATGGCGAAAATGATTGCATATATTTCGTCCATATGTTCTGTAAAAAGCATATGCGTATAAGAGGCCATCCAAAATCAATGTGAAAAGAGAATGCCAATTAAGTATTCATTTTTTACGGATGTGGATTCTGCAGAAGGCCAAAAAGGAGTGTATTCAAAAGAAGTACATTCAAACGGGCGCACACTTTCGAGTCTGACACTATATAAGATTAGGCCGCATGATAATCAATAATGCAACTTTCTTAAAATATCTCTATCAAAAAGCAAATTTCGGAATTTGGCCTATATTTTACGAGTCCGGTCACTCACTGCAAGTAGTTAATAGTTTAATCAAACCTGTGTTACAATCTCGCACACCTGAGGTAGTTGTCAGGACATTGTCAAGCGCACGGTGGTTGGATCGGACGCAGTGACTAACAAAGCTTAACAGCAGGTCTGTATGTCACTCTCAGTCGTTTGGTTCGGCAAAATCGCCAGCATTACAAACCGCTAAAGGCGATGCAGGTATATCCCCATCTGAGTGGGTCTGCCACGGAATCTTAGCCTTCTGTCCTGAGGGGATCAAACTATCAAAGCTTATTCAAAGTTGTGGGATTTATGAAAGCGGTGGCAGTTTAAAGGCGCGCCACATTGGTTTAATTGATGAACATGCGCTGAATACCGTTGATAATCAGTCCATTGAGCTGACCTCATCCTTTATTTTCTCCTTCGGGCACCATTACATTACCCAAGCCGCTCAGTCCTCCGTTAGATGGGAAGTAGATGCCTTATTCGACTAAGCAGTCGGTCCACGCTTGAAATGAAAGAAATCTTATCCCCCAAACAAAATACGATGCGATATCATATAGGGGGATACACAACTCCGACTTCAGTATATGGGATCTCCAACAAGGTGCATTCAAAATATTAATGAATGCGGAGGTTATGAGACCTAGAGAGTATTTCCTAATGTCACTCTGATGCATTGGTGACTGAATCACTAGACCGAAAAGTAAATGAACGCGCATATTTGGATTATCATCTACAGAATGTCCACATGCTCTGGGTTCCAACTTAAACACTTCAGTAGCCTCAGAACTTTAGGAATGTATTTGCCTTATATAACTTCTAATGATGTGAATCATTTACGGAATCGTAGGCGTGCAAAATTCTGAGGAAGTTTCCTTGACCACGTCTCTAAGAAACCTTAAATGTTTTATCGCTTTTTAGTTAGGAATATTGCATTGCAATTAAGTGGTTATTCATGTCTATGCCTCTGAAGCCAACAGCATGTAGATTAAATATACTTCGAGAAAAGTGTCCTTTTACTGGCATATGCTTTGTTATGGCGAGTGTACAACAATTTCTTGCAAGGACCTAAATGCAACATATAGCGGGCGTTCCGATTGTGACCTTTGCCGAAGACATGGTCGTTGGCTATGATGAACGCCCAAACCTACGGAGCAATAATTGTTTTTTTGAAAAGTGAAAGGGAGGCAGAGTGATTGTTATGAAAACATCCGTGCCTTGTTACAATGAAACGTGATAAAAGTGTTCAGCCTTGTGTTTGCTGCTAACCAAAAATTTAAGCAAATATGCGTAAGGGTTAGTAGTGTACTTAGCAAAATTAGCGTCATCCTTAACCTCCCTGGTTTTCCTTCTCTGCATATGCTAGGTAGACTATGTCGCTTTGCTACCGGCTACTATGTTTAGACATCATAACTGCGCGCAGTTCATTTAAAATTCACATGCTTGCATATATGTCATTCCTCGGGCGGGTAACAGGAGACAAGAGTGGTGTTTTGGTGCAGCCATGTATGCCACACCAAAGTCCGGGTTCAGTGTTTATCTGAGCATGGCGTGAAAAGATGCATATATAAAACCCAAAACAGGGCTGATGAGACATTTTGTTTCAAGTCAAGAATCATGCGTCTTCTCAGCCCTATTTTCGCAGTCTTCGTTCTCTTTGTCTTTTCGGTCGAGATTGGCGATGCGCACAGGAGGTATCGGCCTCACAAGAGATGGGGAGACACTTCGGTCTACGGAGATGGATTCGGCTTCAGAATTGACGATGATTATGATGATGATGATGGTGATATCGGTGACCACGATGATCACGATGATCAGGACGAGCACGTTAAAGATTATGAAGAGGAAGCACATACGACGTTTGAAAACGAAGAACACGGAGATGAGCAGGCTGAGGAAGCTGGAGAAGACGACGAATATGAGGATTAAGGAGGGGATGTTTGCGCAGCTAACACATAATCACTGTTGCAAATTATTTGTAGCGTCGTAAGACTACAGTTCTTAATTGTTTTTGACTTAATGCTTTTTTAGAAACACTAATGAATGTTCTAAATAGACTACAGTTTAGCTTATTATGTCTTTTTATGAAGCAGTATAACAGCCAAGCCTTTCTTGAAGGCATATAGCAGTTGTCCAAGTATACTAATGAGTGCACACTGATGAAGACAATGCGAAATTTTAACTATGGCACATGATGAATAAAGGCCTGCTTTCAATAATAACGGTCATTTCATGCTCAGAAAATTAGTACTTTGGAATATTAGCCAATAAGCGTAAGATGCGGTTATGTAGCCCCACCTGATGGACAACATACTGTTAGGATTTAGGTAAGATTTGGGGGGGTTATGAGTAGGGGTTATGTTTAGGGGTTTGGATGGTGGGCTAGGGTTAGCGGTTAGGGTAAGGGGTTTGGGGTTAAGGGTCAAAGTAAGGCAACTACTTCATAACCATTTAAATTACAGCCACGCATTCCCAATAGCTTTTCCTTTGCATACAACTACTTGGCCTCGTTGCCCCTGCGTTGCCGGCCCCACCTGTAGGATCCTTTTATTACCACCGGTCCCGTATTACATGTGGCTAGAACTTTTTACTTCAGGTGGGGCAACATAACTACATCTGACCAAAATAAGATCGAAGATTGTAGACTATGATCTCGTTGGCCGTGCGTTCCCGGCCTAACCTGCTAAAGCCACTATTACCAGCGGTCCCATATTACACGTGGCAGCAATTGTTTACTTTGGGTGGGGCAACATAACCTCATCGGACCAGAATAAGATTGAAGAATATAGACGCTCATGCCTTATGAAGTCCGGCATTGCATGTGTCCAGAAAGAAGGACAGATGGATGAACAGATTTTGACTATACTGTGGTAAACAGGCTTAGAATTGCTCCGGTTTTTTGCAAAACGTGCTTCACTCGGATGACTGTATTAGACGCAGGTGTAACGTGGGTAAATAACTTCTGAGGGCGACAGAATAAGTCACAAATAAATCAGTCGTATGGATCCTTCAGATGCTATACGATGGGTAGGCCCACAGACAGTTTGGACGCCTAGGAGAATAACGTAGATTGACGCAAGTCTCCGAGCAACGCGGCAACCTGGCCAACTCTAGGCTTCACAAATGACCAATGGAAAATCACTAGCGTTTGGCGTAGGCAAAATTGTCAGCCGGACACTGGCAGTAATTAGGAGTACGATTGGAAGCAAAAGTGAAATCGATAAAAACGTAATGACTTACTGTCGCGAAAATCGGATGTTTAGACTTTCAAAACGTATGTTTGTTCAAGCAAATAGAATTCAACAGTAATTTTAAAGTATCTGAAACTAATCTGCCAACAAAAGTGGCATCGCTTAAATTAGCACTGTAGTCGGCAACCGTCTGATTTTGTGTGAAGTTAAGTAGATCTGCAACTTGCTTGTAAATTAAACCATTATGTTTCGCTTTGGCAAGAAAGGCTCTCTCAGAATACAGATTATGTTGCTGTATTGCGTGCTTGGTGAGGTTGCTGGAGTGTGCGTTTCAGTAAGATAGTTTTTCATCTGTTAGGCGGAAGAATTGAAATAGAATTATAAATTTTGCATTCAAATGGTATCAGAATAAATTTCCCTAGGTTATAATTGAAATGTTCTCTCAACACTCATGATAGAAAAAGCGTCGTGGCAGCATGCACGGCCGACTATAAACTGAAGTCATACAACGCACCCGCTTAACTATACGCTCTTTTTCGCTTTCGCCAACGTCGGGCGAATACTTTAAGTCAAAAAGCGTATTAATGTTTCATGTAGTTTGTGCAAAATATTTTAATATTGATATACAACCAACCATCCAAGAAGGCCTTGCGGACGAAATTCCTTGACGCTGTAACCATACCACGAATCCCTGAGTGACCGTATTTGAGATTATGTTGTGTTTGGCAGTGTAGGCATCTGAGAGTCGGACATCGTGACTCGGCAGTTAAATTGTATGCGTGTTTTGAATGTGTTTGAACCGCAGAGAAGGGATAAAAGCGTAAAAAGACAAAATGAAAGGCGAACGTCAAAAAAGACAGAATTATTCTGAACCAGAAAAAGATGACGGGGACAAGCAAGCTCAAACAGTTTAAAGATTTTGAAAAAAACTTATTAAAAACATGATTAATTTTAAAGTAAGATAAAAAACTAAGTTTGCAGTTTTATTATTAGTCGCGTTATGCAGAATTTGGTGCGGTTTCGGTTTGATATTGCATAGACCCCAATGTTTATGTGAGATAATTCAAGCTCTCTGTTGCGTATGCTATCTATGGTGCGCTTCCGTTTACGTCACTGGGCGTCCAGACAGGGTAAACACATTAAATCTGTGTAGTAATCTAATGCGGTAAACCCCTAAGAACAGTTCTAGTTACGCGACAGTTCTGTCACTGTCCATGTTTGGCCATATCTTACTGTTCTTTATGTGTTTGTCTAATTTTTGGAAGGCGGATGGTCTCTGATAATCACATATGTTTCAAATGCAAAAACGTCGATCTTCTGGGTGGGATTCGAGCCCACGAAATCAGGTGCAGAGTTGCGTTATAGCCAGCAAGCTAAAACCATGAAATCTATCATTTCGTCAGATATCAGCATTTTTTAAAATCAGCAGTCGCGTTCGATGGGCTTCTGCGCAGATATGTGTGTACGTTGTTTCAAAGCGGGTATAACTTAGATGTAACCCATCGCTCTACGTTTGTAAAGACTTCAGCCAGATGCTGCTTGTTTCGGGACAACTAAGGCAATCGCTTTTGGCATGAATTTCAGTCATATTGCAGTACCCACGTTCCACATCTTTTCAAAAGAACACCAATAACGCGATAAAATAGCATAAGTATTGTTACTAATTCGGCGTATGTGGTAAATCCAAGAGAACAAAATGCAAGACAGTAGGACTCTGAGAGTGGAGACGTCCGCTGTGAACTCCACAGGGCATGATATAACATCTTATTAGGCAAGCGTGTGCTATTTTTTGAATTTTGTCCTCACTTAGCCAGTAGGATCGAATAGCGAGGCAGTGTCAATACGAGAAAAGGTAGATCGCAAACCTGCGCAGTCCATCTACGCGTAGGCGTATATCAAACGGTATGATCCTGGCCACACCTTCAGATATTTGGGGAAGTACCTAAAATCTTGCGAAAGCGTCATAAGACTATCATTAAAAAGTTATTGCGGCATGACCCTGAGTTGTATGAAGGATCGACTTACCCTGAGAACGGCAAGCTCTCAAGCACCCGTTCCTTGTGCGTCAAACGTGAGGCGGACACCCGCCTCACCCGCCCCAGCCTTCAACACTGCTTCCACAATTGGTTAGGAGTGCCTGGACCACGCCTCATCAGTATGTATTTTTTGTCCTTTTAGTTTGCTGCATTTTTTGTCAACGCTGGTTGTAGCATGAACAGTATGTGATTATAAGATGTTTACTTGGCTTAGAAATAATACCATAACATGGAGTAATTCCCTTTGGAATAAAGTTTACGCGGAAATGTGATGTGGACGTTTGTGCCAAAATTTATCACGTTTAGCGGGTTATCTGCGGACTCTTCCTAAACCCGCAACCGGTTTTCACTGAATCACGACAATTCAACCGTTGTTTCCGACGATGTCAACCGTTCGTCCCACATGGAGTTGACGCAGGTACAGTGACATGCACATGTTTGGCTTGATCGGCATCCGTCTCACTCTCTCCTAGCTCACATTCCTGCGTCCGCAGACAAGACTGATGACAGATGGTTGAAGGAGCGATCAGGCGTGACCTGAGCCTGCGCGTAGACGCGCCATCACACCACATGTGGGGCATAAGTCACGCGCGCCCACTGGCAAATAGCGACTGTCGTGGCATTTAGCATGGCTCTCTGGTGGTCTAGCGTGGTCCGCCGTTGAGCTGATGTACAGTTTACATTAAGTGCGCGAGTTATATCAAAGAAACCCAGACTCTATTCTACCGCTGCACAGCATACCCGCGAGTGGTTCACATGGCCCTTTGGTACTCATAATCCCGCGCGTGTTTTTTTGGGAGATAATACAGTTCTAAAATCATAGCATTACAGTTTATTCAGAAATAACTGTGCTAGCGAGTGGCCAATTGATAACACGGAAAGTGTTTGGGTTCGGTAGGAATGCTGGGAGGAACATCTGTGTCGAAAAGTGCATAAGCTTCAGTTGGTTCACCAGATAGTCTACGTAGTCCACCATCCTCATGCAGGACATGGGCTGAGCGCATGTTTGAGCTTTACGCTAGTACCTGCGGCGTCAAATCATATAGCAAAGCATATGACACTTTCGATAATTTCACCTGACGTCGTAATGCCCGCCCACTTTTTTCTGTCTAAGTTCCATGCTAAAATTGAAAAGCCAAAGTGGCTAACACGTGTTTTCGGTAATTCTTCGTCAGGCCAATGCAATAACATGAAGGAGGTAAAATGTACAAAGTTAGCAGTACCACCAATATCGACGACCTTGTCCAAGAGTTTAACAGTGCGCACTCCTCGCTAAAGTTGACTGCTGAGTCTGAGGCAGATAACGAAATTGCGTTTCTTGATGTCCTTCTACACAGGCAAGAGGGTGGGTCTATCCAGCGCAGTGTGTTCCGAAAGAAAACCTTCACGGGACAATACGTTAATTTCCACAGTTTTGTTCCCCTAAACATCAAACGGAATTTAGTCCAGGGATTGGCGGCTAGAGCTAGACGCATCTGCTCACCTGAAGCTTTTGAAGCAGAGCTCCGACTGCTGCAGAACACACTCCGCGAAAACGGCTATCTAGATAGATTTATCCTCCGAAATATTGGGAAACGCATTGCAAAGCCCACTGTTGCGACTGCTGAAAAGAAAGATGTATTCATAAGACTGCCTTTTGCAGGAGACGCAGCGAGTGAACTATTCAGACGGCGCTTAACTATAGCTGTCACGAGAGCATTTC